CATTAAACCAAAGCCAAGAGTAACGAGTAAGGTTTGTTTTAAAAATGTAAGGAATAGAAAGTACAGATACTTGTGTGAAAATGTAATGAGTAGAAGTCAGAAGTAGGAAGAAAAATAAGTAATGAAGTAAAGTGTACTTAAGTAACGAAGTATTGTACTTTGTTACTTGACACCTCTGAACTTTATGAAATTGAAATTTTCATTTCACTGCTAAGCTGTTGCTCATTCACTGTCTGAAAGATGCAAGAAAACGAATTTTCATTTTTTTATACACTATTTGTATACAAAATAACAATAAAAGTTATATCTAAGTCTAACCCTCCAGCGCTGCAGCAAGCTGTCAATCATATTTCCCCGCCCATTTCAGTCAGATTGGTCTGACGGTAAAAAAAACTGATTTGAAAGTGTAAAAAAAAAATCCTGGAACTGAAAAAGGAATAAAAGAAAAGGAACTGAGAGAAACGGATTTGAATCCGAAAATCTAAAACTGCAATAAAGAAAAGAACTAAAAAAAGAGAAAGTGTCATTAAAATACTTCACTTAATATATATTCTTATTATATAATGATTGCTTTGTTAGTTTTCCCATTATATAAGGTAAACATTTGACTAATTTGATTAAATATCAAAGTCTATTTCTTCAGTTTCAACTAAGATTTAGAAATTTACAAACATTTTCACCCCTCTTTGACTCCATACAGCTGATCGAAGCCATAGATCACAGGTGCAAAGCATTGAATTCAGTGGTGTAAAGCACGCCATCACTAGACTCCAGAGCAGAGGAGATGTGTCCTCTAGAGTGCAAAGCCGTCCTTCTCCATCTAGAAATCTGATGGATGAGTATAGCTTTGGTGGTTGCAATGCTTGTTTGCATTGTGTCAAGTCAAGTTTGGTGGAGGGGGAGTTATACTGTGGGGTTGTTTTTCAGGAGCTTTGCCCCTTAGTTCTAGTGAAAGGAACTCTGAATTCTTCTGCAGACCAAGACATTTTGGACTGTTTCAAACT